AAAAAAAAGATACCGGCCATGCGCAATAGTTATTGCTACATCAACAGAACGTCATGACGTATTTAATATCTTTCTCAATATTTAAATCATTCTAAAAGTAAACGAGCAGGGGAGCCACCCGACAGTAAAATAACGTAATCATTTATTTCATAAATACTACTATGCTACATTGCAATCTATTAGGAACATTTAGGAACATACACTCGCTTTTTTAAAGTATATTGTATTTTAAAAGTCTGTAGTTTTATTAATCATATAGACATAGTATTCGAATCATTTTTTGTTTCGTACCACAAATGTCGTAATTCGTGTCATACCACCCACCCCCAATGTTAGATAATTTGTTTCTGTACCTCTCCCTTGCTAATTCCCCAGTACACATACTTTATGACCGGCCATTATGAAGGCGTTTTCAACAGGGTGGAAAATTGTCGTCGCTGACCAAAGTTATCGCGGACGCTTTCTTTTTCCAGCAAAAATTGTGAAAATAACAAAAACACAGATTTCGCTACCCTGTTTCTCGTACTGCAACAGAGGAAAAGTAAAAGAAAGCTAGCAGACGTACACGCTAATAAACGTTAATCAAGACCAGAATTACTTGTCGCAATCTGGAAATTAGCAGTCAAGAATTCTTCGCCGCAAGGATTCTCGAGCAGGAACTTAATATTGATGGAATATGACTTGAAATTTGCAGTACATGCATTTATTGTCCAGGGCAAAGTATAAATATTTGTTTTTTGAGTGACACTGTGCGCCAACGATCATCGTCAAATTTCAGTATGTGAGGTATTTTGCTAAAATTGCTTGTTTTTCACCTTAATTCTCTAATACATACAGGTTGTGCCAATGAATTGTGATTAGGTCACAATATGTGCTTTTCTTTCTAGTTTTTGCTAATATAATGTAAACTCGCCTAAAAAATGAAGAAAGTACTGAATTTTGGCAAATTTCTTGTGCAAGTGTGATTTATACGAAAAAGGCGGCTCAGAAAATGAGCATCAGAATAAACATTTTACCATGTATTTTTCTATAATAGTTTTAAAATATTATTTTTAGATCTTCAAAGATTTAAAAAAGAGATAAACATAGCAATCATATTTTTCTATGACTCTTCATTCCGAAGCGCAAACTTTGTATTATTTTTAAATACAATTTTCACTCGTTCAAAATTTTGTCATTCGTTCAAAATTTTGTCTGTTTTACAATAAATTTCAAAGCATTTTAATTTAAAGTCGGTATTAAATTTTTTGGCTTTGTAAATAATGGACAAGTTTCAGTATTTTTGGTTTTAAATTCGCATTTTCTTGAAGTTATCAGAGTAATCAGACGACATTTTAAAAGAAAATGTTTTGTTCTGTTTTGTTTTGCACTGAAATAATCGATATTAATAGTTTACATTGTAAAATATGTGGTAATAGATTAAATAAAAGTATTACTGCAACATTCTTTGTCAGTAAATCCAATTTCTGTGGTAATTTGTGGGCCTAAACAGCCGCTGCAAAATTGTCTCTCGATTAAGGCTTCGTTCATGTTGTTTATGTTTTTTAAATCAACCAAGTGGAAACACGCATATCTTCTTCCCCGCGAAAACCCGAGCAGTTTTCGCGCATACTCAGTCAATTTTCCCACCTGTTTTCTTGTTTTGTTATTATTTCAGTACTCAAAATTTTAGGTTCAGTTGAACAGACTGAGAAATGTTTGTTTTGTATACAGCCAATTCAAAAAAAGCTTCCTTTGCAAACATTATTCAACTCTAAACCTGAAACCCTAAAATCTAAGCGCACAAAGCTTAATGGGAGCACAACTTTCAAGCTTAACAATTGAATATTGCAGCTATTTGTGAATGGATTGTTCTCGTAAGAAGATATATATCATATCTCTAAGAAATGGGCCCATGTATGAGTTCTAAACTGATTAAAAGATGCTCCCATTACTCTTTGCACGCTTAGAGTTCAAAGTTTAAGGTTTAGAGTTTAAGAGTTTGCAAAGGACAATTACCTTTTTTGAATTAGTTGATAATAAGAATGTTGAAGCAGAAATAAAAACGTTGCTGCGCAGTTTAATATTGTAATACAAGTATATATACCTGACTCAGTAAACGTTTCAGCACGCTTGTCGCAAGAGACACATGTAACTTGCCATTTCTTTAATGTGTGCTTGGGGAATTTTCAAAGGGTAAATTAAAAGTTAGTTTTGTGATAATAATATCAATTAGCCTTTAAATTAAGCTGAACAAACGGTGCTGAAAAAGACGGATTTTTCGCTGAGTTTCGGTATACACTAAGTTAGGGATATGTTCGGAAAAAAATTTCCTATCTGGGGAATAATTACGCGGATATCTCCGGAAAAATTTTTGTATTTTGCGGAAAAAATTATGATATGTCCGGATAAAATATTGTATGTCCGTAAAAATTACGATATGTCCGGCAAAATTTTTTTGTGTCCAGAAAAAATTTTGCGAACTCCCCACCTCGCCAACAATTTTGGACGGTCGGCTTTACAGTTTCAGATTCGCAGTTTCAGATTCACATTCAGATTCCAATGTGAAAGTAGATCAGGTGTCTGGCGTATAAGATGTCGAATTACTCAGTTTTTTTCTACGCAATAAACTTGCTAATGAATTTCGTTCTTCTTCAGAACATTACGCATTCAACAAATGTATTTTGAAGGCTTTAGCTCAAAATGTGAAGTCAGGAAAGATAGACCATCAAGAAAAGGTAGACGATCAAGACGTGAATTCATGCTGCGCCATATTGTCGCAAGTGATCGGCAATATTATATTTTTGTATTGGCTGTGTAAAGCAACTAAATACCCGTTGTAGCTCCTTAATCTCTTAAATCCATTCACGTTATAGTCAAAGGTATAAAACAAGATCTTAAAAATGTTTGTCGTTTTGCAGGAAAGATCGCAAAACGTAGCGGACGCGAACTGGCTTTTGTAACCAGAAACGAATGACAACAACCCAGCTGAAAGTATAAATACTTCTCACGAATCACACGTTTAAATTGAAATAGTTTCCAGCAAATTGGTTCTTCTACAGCTATCATAAAATGATATAACGCACTTGTTAGCTTCAAATAACTTCTGGTTTCAGCAGGAAAAATCGCAAAAGAGGACTCGTGCTGGACTCAAAAATCCGGGTGGGCATTGGAACTATAAAATCCGGGGGGTCAGTCATTCTCTCATTCTACACATAAAGCGATTTCAAACTCTTTTTCCGAAAAAAAATATACGGCTAAACATTATAAATTTTTAAATATGCTGGCATAGATTCACTATATCACAATAAGCGGACTTGCAGGAGACTTCCAATGCCCATCCGGATTTTTGAGTACAGCACGAGTTGTCTTCTGCGATTTTTCCTGCTGAAACCAGAAGTTGTTTGAAGCTAACGAGTGCGTTATATCATTTTATGATAGTTGTAGAAGAATATCTTTGCTGGAAAATATTTTAATGTGAACCTGTGATGTATGAGAAGTATTTATTCTCTCAGCTGTGTTGTTGTCGTTCGCTTCGGGTTACAAAAGCCGGTTCGCGTCAGTTACGTTTTGCGATTTTTCCTGACAAAATGACAAACGGTTTTAAAATCTAGTTTGCTTTATGCCATTCACAATAATGTATTAATGAATGGATTTTAGAGATTAGGGAGCTACAACGGGTATTGTGCTATAAACAGTTAAATATATAAATATATTGCCGATTATTTGCGACAATATGCCGCAGCATGAATTCACGAGTCTTAATCGTCTGTCTTTTGCGATTTTTCCTGCACGCACACAATGGTGAATCGCAATGAAAACAACGTCAAATAAAGCGCACAATGATGTAGATGAATGAAAATCTTTACGGTATGGGCTGTATTAAAACTGTTGCAGTGGTTTAGCGATTTGTCCAAATTATCACTGTTTTAGTGTGAATCTGAAAGTGAGTGTGAAACTACGGGAAATTTTAATATGGAACAATAAAATCCGGGGTCAGTCATTCTATCATTCTACACATAGAGCAATTTCAAATATTTTCCGGGAAAAAAATACGACCAAGCATTATAAAACTTTATATATGCTGGCATAGATCCACTATTAAGAAAAAAATGCACTTATATCAAACTAAGCGGACTTGCAACAAGTGGTGTTAGGTGAATTAATTAACTTTGAAAATAAACACTTGAAAAGTGTATGACTAACTGATTTTTAATTTCTGTTAAAGATATCGCCGCCACTTCAACAACATGAGTATAGCAGAACAGCAGCGAGCTTATGAGAAACTGATTGCGAATTGAGTGATGAAGAAATTAAGCATTGCTTTGACACCATTGATTCGAATGGCAACGGCGATATTAGTCGTGAAGAGTTTCTTGCATCAGAAAACTACTTTTAGTGGTGTGGAAGCATCGTCCATAGCAATGTTTTAGGAAAGTTACCTATCCGTGACTCAAACAATAGGGAATTCAAACTGGAAATGGTAGATTTGGCAAAAATACAATACACACATGACGGTGAAAGACCAGATTTATAAATAAATGTTGACCAACATAGATAATGAATTTTATTACATAGTAGAGAGTGAGATACTGAGAAATACACAGTGACATATTTTCCACATCTTCACTAGTGAAGATATTGATTACGTGACTTTTAGTAGTTATACATTTTTTTGCTTGGGACTATATAATAAACAGAACATTACACGGTGGCTTGAAGATATGACTTTTATCTTCTCGTGTTAAAAACAATATTTTACTCGCTGCGCTCGTTCGTAAAATATTGTTTTCACCACTCCAAGATAAAAGCATATCTTCGCACCGCCGTGTAATATCCTCTATATATTGTTATTCTAATGAGTTTCACATGCAGCCATCTTTCCTTCGATAGGCTATGGCCCAACGTATCAATAGGTCTACATGCAAAAAATGGAATATTTAAACGCCAGTCACACTAGAATCACGTGCTTTGTTTTGTATACGAGTGACTGATGCATATTAAAGCTAAAATATCGAGATTTTGGGGCATTTGCTGGAAAGAACTTGAAGGTTTTTGTCGAAAGGTTATATACAATTCCAGACCTTTCACAACTGTTCCTCGTGAGGTCTGAAATCATATATAATCTTCCGCTATAGAAATTCCCATTTACAAAAACTCTTCAAGTATTAAAGCTACGAAGCCTCGAATCTATGATACCTGGAGATGGTCTCATGAATTGAACCAGTGATTCTTTTGACATTCTCTACCCCATGGTATACAACATATCCAACACCATTGATAACGACACCTTGAGCAGTCATGTGATTACACGTACCCAGCTAGAAAAACATCGAATGAACATGGATGTAAAAAATAGTCTTCATACGAAAATTTTATCCTACTTGACTGAGAGATGCCACTCGGCTATGAGATCTCGGCTAGCCGGGCTGCTGCGTTTCTTATATGAGCACAAATTAAATTTTATATGCGTTAATAAAGGCCATGCAGATATCACTCAGCCGGTATATGAACAAGCTCTAAACCTGTGACATACCGTTTTTCTCAACGGGAACATTACATTTCGTGTTTGGACATCTCTTGGTCGTATTCCTGATGCATTCTTGCGACTGGCGGTCCCATCTTGACCTCTCATTGTTTGTTTCACTAACTTGAAATCTCTGAACAGACAGGACAATAATAAACATTTCCAATTAGAGTCAAAGAAAGCCGAACTGAGCACCTGAACACAGCGCCCTGTAAATCAAAAGCCGAACTCAAGCAAATTTAAATAATTTACGTACGATTTGAAATCTGATTATGAGAACTGGACTAGATTTCAAGTGAGCGCAATTTGTTCACGCCCGAGGCAAAGTCGAGGACTGGATCAAAATGCGCGGAAATCTAGTTCAGTCCGAATTGGAGGATTTGAAATGACATCTCATACGAATAAATTACTACTTAAAGTGAGGTGAATTAATTTTGATCCAGTCCTACACAGCCAGAAATCTCACAGGCCTGTCGCAAGCTGTTGATTTTACCGGCTTGCGGCAAGTTGTCAACAAGTCGCGACAGGTCTGTTGGTTTCGTCAGGCGGTAACAGGCTTGCGGTAACAGGTCTGTCGCAAGCTGTTGACAACAGAGCCGTAGCGACTTGTTGAAACAACCCGCTACAAACCTGTTACTAACAAGAGATAACAGGTCTGATAGAACAACTTGCAGCAAGTCTGTTGAAATCAACAGGTTTGTTCCAACTTGTTCCAACAGACCTGTCGCGAGTTGTTTTTGTCAAGTCTGCAGCAAGCTTGTTATCAGACCTGCGACAAACCTGTCCACAACAAACAATTTTTGTCCTGTCACAACAAGTTTCAACAAGCCTGTTGTTGGGAAACAAACCGAAAATGTGAGTAAAGAGATATAAAATCGCACGAAATGGACACTTCCGGCTTCACTTTCTCATTTAATCATTGTCATTGGTAGCAATATTGAATCACATAGGAGAGATTATAGTCCATAATATCTATTCTCTGATTATTATAAAATGCAAAAGCCGCTGTTTTATTTTTTTTTTAAAAAGTTCCGATTTCCAAAATCCAAATTCCAATTTGCTGACGTGTGCTATCGCTATATTTCTTTAATCTGATTGGATAAACGCGTGTGCACACGTCATCATTCCTCGTTGCAATTGGGCGAAATATCACAAACATATCAATCACGTAATCATGTTTAGTTGTTTTTGAATTTTGAGCCAAACAAAATTTCAACAACTGCCTCAAACAAAATCAAACAAGTTTAAAGCTGTTTTGATTTTTGAAGAAACTGTAGCAATGAGAATACAAGATCTAGAGCTTAAGAAATAAACAATACATGAACAACCGAGTGTTCACTGCAACGTTCGTCATTGCTGATGTGAACATGAAATTCGTTATATAATTTCTTTCCAATTTCAAGTGAAATCTGCGAGCGAGGAAGACGCCTTATTGAAGCTTTGTGTTTATGGTATGTACTGTTTTGAAGAAAAATATACAAGTAGGTTGTCATATTTCGGTCGTACTTCAAGACAAATAATTTTAAAAATTGTTTACGATAAGAATATTTCTTGAATTTGTCGTATTTTTTCAGCTGTTTTGCTCAAAAATTATCTCGCAAGTTTGTTTATAAAACTTTATATTCATATATAAAAATCATCTCGCAAGTTTGTTTATAAAACTTTATATTCATATATAAAAATTATCTCGCAAGTTTGTTTATAAAACTTTATATTTCAAACTTCTATTTCACGAAACACTACAACCGAAATATGGCAACCTGTTTGGCCGTTTTTTGTTCAAAATAGTGGATAGACAAGCTTCATAAGGCGCTTTCCTCGGTTTGCAACAGGTCTGTCGCAAGTTGTTGAAAACAGCATTGCTGCAGCTCTGTGCCAACAACTTGCGACAGGCCTGTTGAAAACAGCATTGCTGCAGCTCTGTCACAACAGCTTCTAACAGACCTGTTGAAAACAGCATTGCTGCAGCTCTGTCACAACAGCTTGTAACAGACCTGTTGACAGGCCGTTGCAGGACCTGTCAGAACAGACAGGTACAAGGCGAGCGAACGCATCCAGATATCGGCTTGTTGACAACAGGATTTAACAGATCTGTTGCAGATCTGTTCCGACTTGCGCGTTTCTGGCTGTGTAGGACTCTATCAAGTATCAATATACTTCACCAGGTATCCAGATAGACAATAAATTGTATGCATGGCTACGCTGCATATATATAGGTGACTTACGTTTGCGCCCGTTGTTCCTGTCGCAGTTGCACCAGCGGTTTCATTATTTGTTTGGCATGGTTCAGCATGATAGGCACGTGAACAATTGCGGCAAAACACGAGCTGAAATATTGAATGTAATGTTCAATGATTAATAAGATCTGGATCAACAAGAGGTGATCCTTACTGGACCTCTGGGAAGAACAGTTTAGAACTGATAGAGCTATCCGGTATAAATAAAGTTAGTTTAGTTTAGGTTTCGTCCTGTAGTAACACTGGATCAATAAGAGATGATCCTTACTGGACCTCTAGGAAGAACAGTTTAGAACTGATAGAGCTATCCAGTATAAATAAAGTTAGTTTAGTTTAGGTTTCCTCCTGTAGAAACACTGGATCAATAAGAGATGATCCTTACTGGACCCCTAGGAAGAACAGTTTAGAACTGATAGAACTATCCAGTATAAATACAGTTAGTTTAGTTTAGTTTAGGTTTCCTCCTGTAGTAACACTAGATCAATAAGAGATGACCCTTACTGGACCTCTAAGAAGAACAGCAGAACTGATAGAGCTATCCAGTATAAATAAAGTTAGTTTAGTTTATTTTGTTTAATTCAACCATACATACTTACACGACAGCCATGTTCACAGACCACTCGGCGTTGTCCCAAACAATCAGTTGAAATGATGAGAAACAAATTTAATGCGAGGGACAAGAAACGGGGTTTGTAGAAGGAAATTTTATGTGTGAATTTTAAACATTTCTTAGACCTAACCAGGAGTAGTTGTGAAAAATGCAACTATATATAGACCCTCTGGCAGATTATCATAACACGTGTCTAAAATGCATAAAAACCCTAAACCCTCCCGCCTCCCCGCCTCCCCCACACCCTAGGGGTCAAGGCCATGTGTCAGGGGACATGTGTCAGCAAATTCAGTTCAAGGACATTCAAGGCCATGTGTCATGCAATTCAAGAACTAAATACTGAAGAATAGGGGATAGAAATCAGCAAAATGTGACGTTGAATTGTTCAAAACGTAACTTTAATGAATTTCAAACAGCTTTGTAAGATATGAACATACAAAATCAATTCAACAAAATGTCCGTTTTTGAATGATTGTGAAACAACTTCAGAAAATATCAATGAACTAAAGCAAGAAGAATTCAAGGACTCTAAAAAGTCCTTTTTTACAAATTCAAGGACATTCAAGGCCATGAATTTTTGTTCTCAAATTCAAGGACATTGAAGGTCTTTGAAGTTTGAAAAGCCAAAATGATAGTGGACATATTAATACTTGGACTTTAAAACGTACAATGTGAAAAGCATTTTAAATTTAGTTTGCCGTAGTATATAAAAAGGTCTTAAATTAAAGTAATGTAAAGTACCTATCGTTCTGTTATTACTGTTTGCGGTTTTGGAAAACAACTCGAGAGCAGGACGAGACATTTGTTTTAGAGCAGAGTGAGCCAATTTGCAAAGATTTAAGTATCCTAGGCATCTTCAAAATCAATGACTGTTTAACTGCCTTATTTATGTTTCGATACCACCACCTTAATAATTTACCAGATTTCTTTAAAAATTATATTTTAATAAACAACCAAATTCATGAACATAACGCAGTTATATTGATTATTGTACTCTCGAGAACTTGTGTTTATATTAAAAAACCATTTTATTGTACTCGTGTTATTGATACGATCTCGCTTGATAATGACTAAAACTTTTGTGCACTGAACCGAAGATATGATACAAAGTCGTCATCGTCTCGCGCAGTTACACGGCATTCTTCATGGCCCAAGCTAACAGCACGTTTCATCTTACGGCCGAGTTCAACACTGATTATAAGATTAGGCTAAAAACCACGACGCTAAACCTATACTTATTTAAAAAAATAAACTTCAAATCTAAACTATTTTCCTAGACGTCCAGCAACAATCATTTCTTATATTGATTTAGTATTACCACAAGAGGAAACCTAACAAAACTAAGTTTATTTGTATTGCATTGATAGCTCTAACAGTTCGAAATCAGTATATATGATGAACGTATATTCTCTGTTGTATACCTGCTTGCTGTTTGTTTAACAATATACAAATTTGTTTGTTCAACAATATTTTGAGTAATAGTGTCATCCCAAGACATCTTAAAAAACGAAAAAGGGCTCAGATCATCTACATCACAAAAAACAGAAGCATGCTAGGTTTTCCTTGCATTAGCATCTTATGACAGGAAATGCATAGTTTACTTGTATATCTCTTTTATGCACTTCAGTACTTGAAATTCAGGTCTCATACTTAAACAGTGTTTCAGTGCGAGGAAGACCCTCGCATTAGCATCTTATGACAGGAAATACGTAGTTTGCTCATATATATATATATATATATCATTCATGCACCTGGGTACCTGAAATTCAGGTGTCATATTTAAAAACACAACGGTTTTAGTTTTATGTTCAATTCTTCACAAGAAGTCCCTCGAGGATGGAATCTTATTATTCAATCAACCTCATATTAATATGTGCTGTGAACGTATTGTTCTTTTTCCCAGGAATATGTTTAAATTCCTTGGTCATACTCAGTTTCTGGAGGTCTATACAACTTCGAAAGAAATTATGTTATTTCATGATAATGATTTTGTCCTGTTGTGACTTGCTCGCGGTTTTAATTAGTTGTCCATTGATGGCCCTCATCTCCATGTCATTGTTGACGGGAAAGTTGGATGGAAATGCTAGATGGCCTCATATTTCCGCAAGATCGGCAAGTATTTTCGTTCGGTTTTTATATTTCGCTCTTTTGGTGATGAGTTTCGATCGATATTTGGCGACATCTTATCCTATCTTTCATCGAACATCGGTAACGAAGGGAAGACTTTTAACTCTTCTTGCAATACCGAACATCGTCCAAGATGTTGAGAGTGATGTCTGTAAATGACTTTATCTCCGACCACGTACATGGTCTAATGATTTTTATTATTCTCATTCCTGCAATGTTATTTCTCAACTACAAACTGTTTCTAGTCGTGAGAAAAAGTCGTAAAAACAAAAGAATATCGCCCAATATGAAAAAAAACCGCTTTCTTTAAAAAATATATCGAGTTGTTTGCTAGTAGTCGCTTGTCTTGTGATGTTATCCATTCCATGGTTCGTCCACATTGGACTAAGAATAAACTCGCCGGAAACAGCATATACTTTGGATAATGGAAACATTGCAGGTTTGTGGACTCAAACCGTAGGTTTGATGAATTGTACATTTAACTGTTTAATCTTATACTGGAAAAACAAGGTGTTACGTACCGAAGGATAGAAAGTTCTGAAAAGTCTGAAAATATGTCGACGGGTTGACTCCTAGCTACACTAATAACCCTTCTTCAAAAAAACTTAAGGCTAGAAGAAAACTCACTAACAATATCTTGGTCATAGTAAATGTGAACACAACGAACTATATATACACTTAAAAAACTCATTAATAATTCATGAAGAAAACACAAAGAAAAATCATGTAAGCGTGTCGTATCTGTATATGTGATACAGATTCATGTTGATTTACATAAACTTTAACTTATATTTTCTCGGCTTAGACAACGTTTATTTTTAAATTTACTTCGCCAATGAACTCATAAGATGAGTCGTTTTTTAAGTAATGTTTACAACATTCGCGTCCGTGTTGTATCAGATATATACGGTGGCCCAGAAGTGTCACAACACATTTCAAATTAAAAAACACCCCCCAAAGTCCACAACACATTTCCAAACTGGAAACACAATTCAATAATTGCTAAAAACACATTTCAATGTTCACAACACATTTCCAAACTGGAAACACAATTCGATAATTGTTCAAAACACATTTCAATATTCACAACACATTTGCAAACCAGAAACACAATTCAATAATTGTTCAAAACACATTCAACATTCACAACACATTTCACACTTGAAAACAAAACTATTGAAAACACATTCCAATATAATCACACAACAAAAATCGAAATCGAAAAAACATTTCAAAATACTAGCATGGAAACATCGGCGATCAATACACCAGTACAGTGAGTACACCGTATTTCCTTTCGGTCTAAAATTAGCCTGCGTAGCAGTCGCTTTATTTTATTGTAGGTTTTGAGGATTTTTGAATAAATGGCGGGGTCAAAAATCCTCAAAACCTACAATAAAGTAAAGCGACTGCTACGCAGGCTAGTCTAAAATTAGATGTCCTTTCTTTCCTCTTTGTCGCTTGAAATGCCTCAAATGTTGGCGTTGAACCTGTGCCTTTGGACTTTAATTTGCCATCGCTAGCCGAAGACTGTGGCTTTGGAATTGCCTTTGATGAGCAACCAGTATCACCAGGCGATGGATTGCCGCATTTAAAAGAGGGCCCCCTATACTTTTTGCGTGAAGCGTGATGGGCTTATTTTACTTAGCCGTGAAACGTGATCGATGATTTTCTTAATCCGTGATTCGTGATGGTATGACTTCCAATCTTTTTACGTGCACGTGAAGGAAAGATTCGATTTAACCGTGACCCGTGAATGGCAGATAGAAATATGCGGGATTCGTGAATCATCTGTTTTGTGACCTTTTGTGTGATCAGCTTTCCAAGGAATAAATAAGGTTTGTTGCTGTTTTTTGAAGTACTTGATGTACAGAAGCCTGTTTTCGTCATAGTTGGAGGTGTGAAAGCATGTCAAGGTAAGTACAGACGAGTACAATGATTCTACAATTAAGGAAGACATCCATATAATAATTCGTGAATTTCGTTTTATTTTTACGTGAATCGTGATCGCTTCAATTTTTCCGTGAACGTGAAGGAATTTTTTCAATTTTTCGTGACTCGTGAAAAGGCAAAATATTTGTACGTGAAAGCATATTGTGAAGAGGTATAGGGGGCCCTCTTATAACAAAACTTATGATTTTCGGAGATTTTATAGGCCGTGGGCCGTTGGCGAAAATTATTTCACTTCATTGCAACCCCTTGGGGAATAGATTTTCTGTGATTCAATGCATAGTACCATGGATACTCGACTACCACAAACAGTTCCCAAGCAAAAAACTTGCCAAACACCGTCATCAGTGATTATCCCCTATTAAATTGTATTACAGCAAGAAAATGTGAAATTTTGTAATCAATTACAACAAAAATGATTTGCATCATCAGAAAGCTTACAAAAAACCGAAGATAAGACATTCAAACAGTTTTTTGATCCTTCAAATAGTCTTTGAGTTATTGCTGTTTTAAATGTGAAAATTGGACCAAAATGTCGCAATAAGGACTGGGTACTAGGTCAAAAAAACGCGTTTTTGACAGCGTATAACTTAAAAACAATTTGCGATATAAAAAAACTGTTTAAATGTCTTATGTTCGTTTTTTTGTAAGCTTTCTGATGATGCAAGTCATTTTTGTTGTAATTGAATACAAAATTTCACATTTTTTTGCTGTAATACCCATTTTCTCGGTGTTTGGCAAGTTGTTTGCTTGGGAACTTTTTGTGGTAATGGACCATTTGCATTATAGACTAAATTTTGATCTAGACAAAAATTTCATCACAGCTTGAAAGAGCATCACAAAATCAGTAATATTCCAAAGTTTCGTTGCGAAATGTTGTAAAATGCGGATAATATAGCCTTGCGAAATTCGCAATTTTCAGTCATTTTGTGTTACAAATGGGAAATTGATGCTCCAACACCCGATTGGGCTGTCAATTTCCCGTGCGTAATACAAAATGACTGAAAAACGGCAAACTTCGCATGGCTATATTATCCGCATTTTACAACATTTCGCAACGAAACTTTGGAATATTACTAATTTTGTGATGCTCTTTCAAGCTGTGATGAAATTTTTGTCTAGATCAAAATTTAGTCTATAATGCAAATGGTCCATTGAGCATCTATGGTACTATGCATTGAACCACAGAAAATCTATTCCCCAGGGGGTTGCTACGAAATTGCTTTTCTAAGCACTTTTTCGCACAACGGCCCACAGCCTATATTGAGTAAATAGGAGACTTTTTTGCAGGCTTTACAATGGTTGCTCTGCGCATGCGTAGCCGAACCTTCCAGACCAGTAACGGCGTTCGCCGATGTTTCCATGTGTTGCCAGTATTTTGAAATGTTTTTTCGATTTCGATTTTTGTTGTGTGATTATATTGGAATGTGTTTTCAATAGTTTTGTTTTCAAGTGTGAAATGTGTTGTGAATGTTGAAATGTGTTTTCAGTTGAACAATTATTGAATTGTGTTTCTAGTTTGCAAATGTGTTGTGAATATTGAAATGTGTTTTGAACAATTATCGAATTGTGTTTCCAGTTTGGAAATGTGTTGTGAACATTGAAATGTGTTTTTAGCAATTATTGAATTGTGTTTCCAGTTTGGAAATGTGTTGTGGACTTTGGGGGGTGTTTTTTAAATTGAAATGTGTTGTGACACTTCTGGGCCACCGTAGATATACAAACTCTCGCCTTCGGCTCGACGGCTCATGTTGTAAACATTACTTAAAAAACTCATTAATAATTCACGAGGAAAATACAAAAGAAATGAATGTTTAATCAATGTTTGTAAGTCGGATAAAAATTTGTCCTGATTTACATAAACTTCAACTTTGATTTTCTCGGCTTAAGGCGAATTTCCAGTCCTCGCACGCAGCTCCTCGCAGCTCCAAGTGCATGCATGAGCACTTTCATCCAATCACAATGCTAAACAGTTAATTTTAATTAGATGCAAGTATAATATTCTATTTTCCTATTTAGTCTAAAATACACACACCAAAATCTATTCTATACACAAGCGTCCTTTTTTCCACGAGGTTTATTTCTCTACCCCCTTTTGTCCCCTATATCCTCTAAATCCATATCGGTCCCTTAATATCAACTATGGTCATAATATAATACAAAATAACTCAAACAGAAACACTATATCCCTCCCCCCTTTTAAATGTTAGTATCAAACAATATTTAAGCGTTCATTGTTGATCCTGAAATGTTTTAATCCAAGACAAAGTCTTTCAACCGTGCTGGTAGCTTGTGTCCACGTACAGGCCGTCTCTCCGTTGGCTTGGTTTGATGTTGTTCACCTGTTCGAGAAGTACAACGTTTTTGATCTGATCTTTTCTCGTTCGGTGTCGGCAATTTCCTGACAAACGAAACATTTCGCATGATGCACGGTTCGTCTCCACGTTTTAAGAATACGCTTGGTCCTTTCTTCTTGATTATAGTATATGGTTGTGGATCATACGAGGAGGACAGTTTGTTTTTCTTTAGTTCTTTTAACAGCACGACATCTCCCTCCTTTATCGTAGACGAGATGGCATGTTGGGTCTTGTCAGCATATTCTTTTGTGCGTTGTTTGTGGTTGTGATCATGTTCACAAGCAGCTTCTAGGGTCGGACTTGGCTGGTCTACACGGATATGAGGCAATTTTGTTTTAATTCTGCGACCAAAAAACAGCTCGGCGGGAGAGATGCCAGTAGATATATGAGGTGTTGCTCTATACATCATCAAAAATTTGGGTAGTTCTTGTTTCCAATTGCGACCTTCCGCGTGAGCAGCTTTGACAGCTTTTCCTAACGTTTTGTTGAATCGTTCAACAGTGGCATTCGCAGCAGGCCAGTATGGTGTAATAAGGCGGTGTTTAATACCACAACTGTGTAGGAATGATTTGAACTCGTGGGAAGTAAACTGAGGGCCGTTGTCTGATACCATTTCTTCAGGGTAACCAAACTGGGAAAATATGTTCTCTAAACGATTGATAATGGTAGTGGCTGTAGTAGAACTCAATATTTCGACCGCGGGCCAACGAGAACATGCATCAACTAAGACTAGGAGTGATTCGCCGGTGGGAAAAGGACCACAGAGGTCAATATGGAGGGTATGCCAGGGTTCAGTTGGCATCGTCGACATGTGGAGAGGTTCGGGATTGGTTTTTGGCCCTTGAGCCTGGCAGGGAAGGCATTGACTGATCATTTTATCAACATCTTTGTCTATTCCTGGCCACCAAACTTTTTGGCGGAGAAGTTGCTTCGTTTTCACGATGCCCTGATGACCTTGATGGGCGAGCTCTAATGTAGGTTTCTGTAAGTCAAACGGAATGACGATTCGTGTTCCACGAAGGATGATGCCATTTTGGACACACAGTTCGCTGTTAACTTGCATGTATGGTCTGAGATCTGGTTCTTTTGGCCATGTTCCGGATGTAATGCAGGTATGGATGCGTTGCAGTATAGGATCGGCGAGGGATGCTTTCTCGATTTGTTCTAGTGTCATGGCTTTTGGCACGCTGTTTGAAACGATGTAGTTGACATATTCGTCGGCAATGGACCGTTCAACATGTGGTTGGTGTGGGAGTGGTAACCGGGATAGAACATCAGCAGGGTTCTCGGCACCAGGAATATACTGGATCTTGAAATGATATGGTTGTAATCTGAGGGCCCAGCGTTCAATTCGAGCGGGGGGTTTGCGTTTGGGGTTGTATATGATTTCTAATGGTTTGTGGTCGGTATATATTGTGAACTCGGTGCCATACAGATATAGGTGGAATTTCTCGCATCCCCAAACTACAGCGAGAGCCTCTTTTTCGGTTTGGGAATAGCGACGTTCAACATTTGATAGGGTGCGACTGGCATAGGCAATAGGCTTAGTTATTCCATGTTGGGTTTGGGTCAGCATGGCTCCGAGCCCTACAGGGCTGGCATCAACACGGAGGTGAGTTGGAGCCGAGGGATCGTAGTGGGCCATAACCGTATTGCCAGTAAGAAGATTCTTCAGGGTGTCGAACGCGTTTTGGTGGATGGAATTCCATTGCCACGGAGTGCTTTTCCGAGTAAGTAGACGGAGAGGGTCGGCAACAGTTGCAAAATTCGGGATGAAACGCGAGCAGTAGGTGGCAAGTCCCAAAAAACTGCGTACTTCAGCTGCATTGGTGGGTACTCTTGCTTCACGGATAGCTTCAACTTTCTTAGTGTCGGGACTGACCCCAGATGCTGACACTTCGTGACCGAAAAATGTGAGGTTGCTAACACCAAAAAGGCACTTATCCTTGTTCAGGGTGAGACCCGATTCTTGTAGACGTTGGATGACATTGTTAAGGTTTTGATCGTGTTCGTCTTTGGTTTTACCGAAAACAATGATGTCGTCGGATATGTTTCGCACACCAGGAAGACCTTGTAAGATCTGTTGAATAATGTGTTGGTAAACTTCGGGTGCTGAGGAGACACCAAACATCAGTCGCGTATACTAGTATAAGCCCTTTTGGGTTGCAAAGGTGGTAATTGGTCGAGATTCAGGGTGCAGTTCAATTTGGTGGTAGCCGGATCGTAAATCTAGTTTAGAGAACACTGTGGCTCCTTGCAACTCTTGGAGGGTTTCTTCGATAGTAGGGATAGGGTGGCGTTCACGGATTATTGCAGAATTTGCTTGACGCATGTCGACGCAGACACGAATGTCGCCATTAGGCTTTGGTACTGCCACAAGAGGTGAGACCCAGGGGCTAGGCCCCTTCACTGGTTCGATGATGCCAAGTGTTTCGAGTTCATCGAGTTTTGTCTGGACGGCCTTGCGAATGTGGAAAGGAATTCTACGTGGTGCTTGGGCAACTGGAGGTACCGACTCATCAAAATGTAGGTGCAGTTGCAAATCTTTGAGTTTTCCGATGCCGTTGAAAACTTGCGGATACTTGGTAACAAGTGTTTGCATGAACAGGTTGTCTCCATTACATATGTTCTGAATTGGATGGAAGTTCTCATGTTCTTGAAATAACCCAAGATCAGTTGCAGTTTTGTGCCCCAAGAGTGAACCAGAATTTTGATTCGCAACAACGATGAAAATGGCATTCGTAATTAAATCTTTATGGGAGACCTGTGCAGTAAACGAACCTTGAATACTCAGTGGTGTTGATGATCCATATGGAAATAATTTGAGATTTGTTTTGGACAGTGTGATCGGGCTGTTTGCCTTAATTTTTGCAAATGTTTCATTGTCAAGTACATTAACAGTTGCGCCTGAATCAACGATGAGATCAACTGGGAAGTTCCCAATTTGGACGGTTGCATGGGGCATTTTCCCGGTGGCACCAAGTTCGAAAACATACTCATCGTCCGATGAACTTTCCCCGGTGGCCGGATGTGGAGCGCCGTATACATACCGTATTTCGCCATGACTTCCGGTATTTTGCTTGTAGATTTCATTCTTGTTTTTCGATGTAGGATTCTGAAATTCAGGCTTGTTTGTCGGTTTCAGTTGACGACATACTCTAGCGAAATGGCCAAGCTTGTGACACTTATTGCAGGACATTCCTTCGGCAGGACAACGAGGGTCTTTAGCTCGGTGACCGGCATTTCCACAACAATAACAAACGATATTCGAACGACCTGTTTGTATCGATGTTGGATAACGAGATGATGCAGCTTTAGAACGGATTGCATTTACGCCCAGGTCGGTGGTTTTTAAGCTGTCTGCTTCTATTTGCGAGGCTTGCCGTTCGGATGCTTCGAACGAACGACCGATTTCGACTGTTTTCTCAAGAGTAAGTTCTGGTTCGCGAAGTAATCGTCGCCTCAAACGACTAGACGAACAATGTTCGATAATCTGGTCACGGATCATATCGTTGGGGTTGCCATGTTCGCAGAATTTTACTTTGTGTTTTAAACGGATAGCTAACTGTTCGATTGTTTCTCCTTGTAGTTGTGTTGTCTGTCGAAAATTGTGATGCTCGAAAGGAATGTTCTTTTGTGGCTCGAAGTAGGACGTTAACTTTGCTATTGCGGTGTCGAGATCGTTGCCAGTGTCTTCTAGGGTTTCAAAAATGTCTTGAACTTCAGGTCCTGCGAGGTGGAGAAGGATGGCACGTTGTTGTTTCTTGTTGTTGATTCCCGAGGCAGCGATATAATAT